CTCACTGGTTCTAAGCTGTGGTTGGAAGAACTTCAGTTTCACTTGCTCTGCCTCCTCCTGGAGGCATGAATGAAATCCTTCAGGGGCTGACCCCTTCCTCCCCTCCTCCTGCTCTCACACGCACAGCTTCTCTGGGCTCTCCTTCCCACCATGGCCTGAAAAGCAGTGGGAGGGCCTGGTCTCTGTGTTTCAGCAACTAATGAGGTACACGTCCTCCCCTTCACACCGTCCACATTGTCCACCAGGTTCCCCGTGGCCATGGGCAGAGTTGTAACGTGGGGCTTCTGACCTGGGCAAGGAGTCGAAACTGCTCTGCAGACCTTGATATTTCTCCTCTCCTTATTTCCCCGTGACCAAAGATAATGGCTGTTAAACAATGAGAGATGTTTTGTTGGTGGTCACCAAATGAATGATCAGCCACAGACATCGTATAAGCACGCCCCGAGTCTTGCTTGACCTTGAATATAGTTATGTAGCCTGACAATACAAAGGGTATCTAGGATCTGGAATTAGAATTCAAAGGCCAGGTGTCTGGCCTAAAGATGCCTGATCCATAACTAAAGAAACACGGGGTCCCTTCTCTCACCAGTGGCTCTGTTTTCTGATTGTTCCTCGGGGTCACTGGAAGCCCATTTCAGGGGAAATGGCATCCAAACTGATGATTATTTTCTTCATATTGCAGGTCACCTAACCAGAGGGAGCATGTGATGTAGCTATGAGTATAAGAAAAGAAGTGTTTGTTAAAAGTGAGAAGCCACTCATGCTTGTATTCATTACCAAAATCAAAGGAGTCTGGCTCATATTAATATTTCCCATAAGTGCTGGCCACCCCAAAACAAAATTAGTGCTTGAACCCGATAAAAAGAAAACGTTTCAACCCTCTAAAAAAAAATAGTTATTGAATGAGAAAAAGAAGGAGAAAATAGCGTCTGATTAGTGACTGGTCATTTGCAAAGTGATTTCTCCTACATTATCTCATTTTTAAAAAAGTAAATTTGATCACTTTAAATGTTAGCGTGAAGTGGTTCACAATCTCTTGAAATAAGTAAAGGACATTATATTTATAAGCATGCAAGTTGTGAACCAGGCCAAACATTCTCATCTGCTGCTTTATATATTTTTATCAATCATCACAGACTCATGGGGAAGATCTCAAATGGATACAGCTTTAAAATGGATTTTAAGAGATTTTTTTTTTTTAAACTTATCAGTGTGCTTTTCATGTCTTTCTCTCCTCCCCCAACACTTTTGAAATTTCTTTTTGGTCTCAGTTTCTCTGGTACCTTCCCTTGAATGGTGAACTATGATTATTTGCATTTTGGGTAGATTATTATTTAGCTTGCAAAACAGCATTTCCCTTCATTAAAATCTCTTACTTGCTCAGCTTAAGATAAATGGAATTATTCATCTGTCTCCCCCCGCCCCCCCCCCTTTGGCTACGGGTCAATAAAATAATGTTAAGCAGGAGAGGGGATGGTTGCTGAACGCTTTTAAATGTCACTAAATAATTTCAGGAAGGAGCTGGCTGCCACTGTCCTGAATGATGGATATGCTCCCAACCTTAACAGACATTAATGACTTACACAGTAACAGTTTGCATTATAACCACAGCTGTTCAAAACTTGCATTTTGTAATAGCTATAAACAGGAGTGGGCATTTCCAAAATGTGATAACACACTGAAAAGTGAAAAAACAGAACAAAAGAAGACAAACAAAACCCTGAGACTTCACCAGGAGCCAAGAGTGGCAACCAAGACAGCAAAAGAAACCAGAGTATAGCCAACCTTTTTTTTTTTTTTAATTAGAGTATATTATACTTTCAAACTGGATACACTAGAAATTGGCAATGCAACATAAGATGCAAAGGAATATACCAGTTACTGTCAAAATGACCCTGTACAGCCTTGTAATGCAAAAAGCTTTATACAATACAAATTTTCAGTAATGTACACAAACCTTGACAGTATGATCATCCGAACATAATATGAGGAGTTAAAAAAAAAAAAAAAGGATAGAAGAAAGTGCTGAGAACCTAACTGCAATGCTATATGGAAAAATAAGCTTGCTTTCATGGAAGAATGCATAGAGAAAACAGAGCTGAAGTTAGTTGGTAGGTGAATTTCTCAAAGATGTTAGTGTTTTACGCGGAAAGGATATCTACGGAATACATCCTTCCCTGAGTATCAAACTGCAAACCAAATTCAGGGGTACATATTATCTAGGTGGAGTCTGAAAAATGCTGTAGATTTTTTTCTTTATTAATAACAATAATAATATAAAAAGTCAAACAAACTCCAAACACACCTTTTCTCACTCAGAAAACTTTTTTTTTTTTTATATAATTTACCAGAAAGATTGATGACTCTTTCCAAAGTGCTAAAAAAGTCGCCCAATTATATTAAGCATTACTAAGTCATTCAAATACAAGTTCAGTGGCAAGCAGTGAAATGCATGGCATTTGAGCAGTAAATGTCCCCTTCGGTCACTCCTCTCCATCTTGAAAGTTTCCACCCTAGAACCTCTTATTGCACAAGCAGCAAGCTGTACAACCCAGGGCGCTAATCGTCAGGGCCACCCTCTCAGGTTTTGAACCTGCCGGTGCGTGTGTGTGAGTCACCTTTTCTGGCAGCCCCCATGACGTCACCGTGGCCCTCTTTGCTGTCATCACTGAACTTGTAGTTTTGAAAACACATTATCAGCCAAGTGGCACACTCTCCATTATATGGGGATCAAGACATGACTTTAAAAAAAAACAGCCCCCCTCCCCCAGCCCAGTATTCTTGGAGTATATTGTCCATAACTGTCTATAGTGTCTTTTACTGAGACATTGAGATGGCGAGTTGAACGTTTCAAACAAGGCCAAGGGCAAAGGTCTCTGCTGGAGAATGACTGAGGGTTTGGGAGCTTCCTGCCCTAGCTGGTCGGGCCTCCCTGCCCCCCCCGTGGACATCTCCGTAGTGTAAACAGGTTTGCCAGGGCACAGAGCAGGCTCCCCCATCCAGGGCTGGGTGACTGGCGAAGGGAAGGGTAGTGCACCTGATAGGGCTGGGGGCAGGAGGGTTGGTGCAGAGGGGCGAGGGGGAGACCGTGGTGTGGACAGACGTATAGTCTTCTGGCTTCCTGGAGAACTGCACTAACTTCCAAGGGGCTTTTTAGAGAAGCAACTGACTAGAGGAAGAAAATCAGGGATGCATTTATTTTGCCCTGGTGAAACAGATGAAAAAAAAAGAAGAATCCCAACTTTAGGATAACACACATTGGGAAAACAGCAACACAGTAAGAAAGCGTTCCTCCTGTACACCAGCTCTTCCATAGATAAATAATACATAAACTTTTATATTCCAAATTTCCCATTACTATACAAAGCACATTTCTTCCTGCTCTTTTAGCCTATTTTATACTGGAAATTCTGTTGTCTTAAAAACCCAAGCAATGAACATATTCAGCCAAAGATTTTTTTCCATTCTTTTTTTTCTTTTTAAGCCATCCATTATTTTTTAAGATGAGCCAAGGGCTGTGAAACCGATCCACACCTGCTTCCTGCTGCAATAAAGTGCTGCACATAAATTGCCATTTTAATGACCACAAAATAAGAGCTTTAAATAAGTATAAAGTTAGTCTCCTAGCAGGTTACATCTACCAGGCGTTAACAAAATGGAATACAGAGTTATAATCACACGGAGGACATGGCTACAGCCAGAGGATCTGCAGACACAATGGAAACTTCTCAGGGGCATAACTAAACTCAAGGACTCAACAGCACCTTTTTGTTGTGTCATTATGTGTCAAAGAGGTTGTGGCTAAATTTTCAAACATACAGTCTACTCATTCCGTAAAAAAGGTACATTTTCTTCCTTTTATCTTTTTCTTTTTCCCCCATGAGAAACAAAAACTAGTGCAAGGCCAAAAGCACTGTGCAAAACTGCCGCTTCATTTTTTTTTCTTTTTCTTTTTTTTTTTTTTTAGTCTGAGCATTTATACCCAGAATTTATCCAAACCCCTTTTAATCTCCTTGGCTGGATTTATCAACCATAAAGTTTTCCACTCATACAATTTTTTTTTCTGCAAACAAATGGTAACCACTGAATTAATACATCATATATATATATATTTAATCTGCCCTTAAAAAAAGGATGCGCTGTGTGCGCGCTCCATGCACACTGCTTCCGCATGGGCACGCACAACGACACTTAAGTTTTGTGATGCCAGCTGCAGTGCTGCAAGATATTTCTTGCAGACCAGTCGCTTGATGTCTCGCATCTTCATAACCAGAGAAGATCTGAGCTCGGGGTGTCCAGCACTCTGTGGGAAATGTCCAGCAGCACTGCAGATGCCTGCCATCCCTTCATCCACTGAGCACCAGGCCCTACCACTCTGTAGCTGGAAAATAGAGAGGGAAAGGTGATGAAGGAACTCAGGGAGAAACTGTAGTGGATGAACAGCCCGGGAGGGAGAAGGACGTTCATCCCCGTTCAAGAAGCCAGTACAGAGAATGTGCAACAGAGAAGTCATGGCACGCGCGACACACGGCTTGCTTTTTGGAATCCACAAACGCCCACACAGCCCATTCACCCAACAGAAAACCAAATGCACCGGTATAGAAGCTTACAAGTGCTGATTGCTATTAAGGACACTCTCTTGAGGGTTTAACGAGACAAAATTCCGTTCGGAGAGAAGTACGGAAGGGCTGGAGTGGGGGCAGGTGGCTGGGGAGGCATGCCTCTGAAGGTAGAAGTAGGCAGGGGTCACCTCTCTGAAGGCTGGGGAAAGCAGCTTGTAGGTAATGCGATAGGTATACACACACAGCCAATTCTCTATTCCTTACTAAAGATATACAGTACACGTGGCTCAGACCCCTGGGGCCTGTAGGTTTTGCAGCAACATACACCTGCTGGGGTTGTGTTTAAGTTTTGTGGGTTTTTGTTGTTTGTTTCCTGTCTCTGTCCGTTTTTGGTACAGAGCGCGGCTGCCCTCAGACAGTCTCTGCTCTTTCTCTTAGTCCGAGATAGGCGAGGAAGGAGTGTTTGGGGGAGGGGATGCTGGGAGGCGCAGTCTGAGGTCGGGGAGGGTGGAATGTGAGATCCAAGTGGTTCTTGGGGTACAACATGGTCAAGGGAATGAGATGGGCAAAGTCCGAGTTCCGGTACTTGTCAAAGCGCAGAGGGGAGCCGTTGAAGGCCAGAGCCTTGAGTGCCAGGTTGGGCTCCGAGCTGCTGCCGTGGGCGGCCGTCAGGGCCACGGTCTGCAGGGCCTGGGAGGCCGACATGACCGACAGGGGAGACAGGAGGTTCCGGGGGCTCCCCACGACCAGGAGCGGGGCCCCGGGGCTGGCCGGTTCCTTGGGCGCTGGACTCGGGCCCTTCTTGTCCTCCTCGGGGCAGTCCCCGCTCTGGTGCTTCTTGACGTGGCGGCTGAAGACGAAAGGGTGTGTGGTCTTGAAGAGGCACTCTTCGCAGCTGAAGGTCTGGCGAGGGGCGTGCTTCAGCTTCTTGTGCAGGTTGAGATTGTCCTTGCGCTTGCAGCTGTAGCTGCACTGGTCACAGTGGAAGGGCCGCTCCCCGGTGTGGACGCGCACGTGCTCGATGAGCTTGTTGGCGGTCTTGGACAGGTAGCCGCACTGGTCACACTTGTAGTGGTTGCCCAGGCGATGCTCCCGGGTGTGCGTCTCCAGCTCCAGCTGGTTGGCCTTCACCGTCTGGCAGATCCGGCACTTGTACTCCATCTTGTAGTGGGTCTTGAGGTGGCACTCCATGGCAGCGGGGCGGTTGGTGGAATAAATGCAGAATGGGCACCTGCCGGGGGGAAGCAATGCAAGGGAGGGTCAGCTGGAAGGGGCCGGTGGCAGCCAGGCTTCTCCCCTCCTCATCCGCCTGCCCTCACCCCAGCCCAGCCCAGCCCTGCCGCCTCTCAGGGGTGGAGATGGCCCTTTTTGGCTTTCTCTGGTGACAGAGCAGTCCCTGCTAGCGGGGAGCTCCGCCGAGGTCCGCTCAGCCTGTTCTGGGTCTCCTGGCTGCAAGGGCCAAGGCCAGCCCTCAGGAGGGGACCAGAGAAACTGCGAGGAATACACAAGCTGGCGCTCCCTCCAGCCCCCCACCCGGCCCCTGGGAGCCCTCCCCGCTCCCGACCAGACATGGCAGAGGTCTAAACCTCCTGACCGTTCCCCTAGATGGGAGCAACACAAAGAATCGACTTTTCATGCACCACACCAAGCACACGCAGAAAGGCTAAGAGGTTTTAAAGAACAGCTTTAGGGGAGAGCTACTTCCAGCAAAAAGAAAGTCACAGGGGTCAGAGTCGTGCTTATTAAAGGGTTGTTAGGATGAGAAGGCCTGTGTGTGTCCCTGTGTGTGTGTGTGTGTGTGCATACATATGAAAACATAGAACGTATCTCCTGTAGCTCATCAGAAAGGAAGCAGAGGACTGTGCAGGGCTGCGGGGAGATGGAGACCGCCCAGCAGCGGTCCATTTGGGGGGGTCTGGAGGAGGGAGGGGGACTGCTCTGGAACTTGAAGACCTCTCAGTACGTTATTATGCCAGATCATCGATTCTCAGAGGGCAGGAGCAGTTCTTAAGTCTCTTCTGCATTCTCTATGGTGCTAGGGAGAGCACTCAGCACGGGGAAAGCCCGTGGGACATGCTGAGCCCTTCTATGAGTGGTCTCTACAAGGGTCTGCGGTGGAGTCGGAGGGGTGGGCTTGAGTCCCGGCTCCATCACCTTATGGGCTCTAACTGGAGACTCTGGACAAAGCCTGGGCCTCTCTATGGCTCTGTTCTCCATCCTTCGCAGCACAGACAGGCTGCTGCCAACCCTCCCGGCTGTCCAGAGAGGCTGCGAGGAGTGGTGGGGGCGTGTTTACAAAAATTGTGGGGCCTCTCTTTTGGACACTGCCGGGTTTTGAATCGTGGCTGAAATGATAACTGAAGCGTGTTTGCTCTCTTTCCAAAAAGAATGCAGATGCCCAAATGGCTGCCTCAACTCTTGCATTGGCTCCTGCAGGGCAGGGCCTGGGAGTGGACTGTCCTCAGAGGGTTTGGAGAGGTGTTCAGCAGAGCCCAACACAACCAGGTGCACCGTGCACTGCCTCCTCAGCGCCAAGCTCGCCGTTAGCCTTGAACCTCAGCTCACAGAAGAGTGCACACGAGAGAAATATAAAGCCCATTCCCAGGTCAGGTGCACACACAACCCCTACGCCAAGCTGGGCCTTACCTAGAGGAGTCTGAAACTCACCACTGTCCTGAGCTACGGCAAAAGAAAAATAATAGTATAATCTTATTTGATCTGCATTATGAACAGGATATAGAGTACAAGCAGTTCCATCACAGAAAAGCAATTTAGACGTCGGCGGTCTGTTTCATGTTAAGGACATTTCTGTGACCCACAGCTCAATCTTTCTCTCGCTGCTCAGGCAAAGTGCTAAGGGTTTTCCGTGCTCCCAATGTTTATCTTAAAGACACTCTCTCAGGCAAATTAATTCCCTGATATGGTGAAGGAAACAAAACAAAACAAAACAAAGACTCACTGTATAGCCAGAAGGCATTATCAATTTTTTCAAAGTATTCTTCTACTTGGTCATCCTAGAACATAAACTATCACACAGGGGACGGTTAGCACCGCACAGGAAGTGTCTGGCCCAGCAAATGCATCAGGTTCATTGTGCATTCTCCCCCACGGGTTCAGAGGCTCGGGACTGCTTAGGCCCCTGAGGAAAGGCAACTGGCAAAGCCACAACTGGCGAGGCCACAAAGTAATGGGCGTCACTGGGCTACCGGGAAGGCAATGTCACTAGTCCATCCACAGAAAGCTGGGTTCGTCTTTCTTTTTATACCAATTATTTATAAAGGGTCAGTGGGAACAAACCAAATCAAGTCCCCAAATAAGGTCTTGCTAGGCATTTTCCATCTACTGGTTGAGTGAATTATAACCACCCTCCCCCTTCCCCACCCCCTCCCTCTCCTTCCCACCCGAGTGGCCCCAAGAGTGAACCAAAGTGGAGCCGACAGTAGGTGCTGTCTGCTGCCTCTTCCATTTGGGCAGGTTTTGGAGGAGGGTGCCCCCAACCAGGCAGGAGCTCAGGGGAGTCAACCCTGCACTGCCCTCGGTGCTAGACTACCAGGGCCCTTCTGGGCTCTCTATTCCTTACCCACACAGGGAGGCACACCACCTCTCTGGTTAGTTGAGTCTCAATGATGAAAATTTTTTTCAAATGAAAGTTTTATTTTTCCCCATATTAAGTAAAACGTATATTTCTATTCTTTTCACTACACGATCGTTTCAGCTAATATTTAATAATTCTGCCTTGACAATTGTCTTTCTGTGCCCAAAAACGTGTGCTTCCCTCTTCTCAGTGTACCATAAGGGGCCTTGTGGATGGGGACTCTGATCTCAGACTCACTGGGAAGATTAAATTCTGGGAGTGTTAGCACATACACTTCCTGAGGGTGGAAATTATATTTTATTCCTCGTGTGCCCTTTAGCACCTGTTATCAAGCCCGGCACACAGTATGTTTGGTAATAACTGACTGGTCTCACTTGAGACCGGAGGGCTTCTTGCAAATATTGGATAAAGATGATGCTCCTTGTCTAGATCTTTCGGGGAAGGCACTGGTAGGTTTGTAGGAAGGCGTGAAGCACATGATCTTTGTATGAAAAATGTTATCTCCTGCCTGGTCAAACTGCCAAGGTTCCAATTGTGGGTGGGGTGGAATGGTCATAAGGCTTATTTAAAAGATATATGGCAAGCCGTTTGAAAATCAGAGTTGGTGCATTGTAGTGACAGTGTAATGATCGACACCCAGGTTCACTAACCCCTGAATTCATTAAAATCAAGTGTGCACGAGACTCAGACAGTGCAGGATGGGTCTACCCTTGCAGGTGGGCTTGTCCAGCACATCTTCTTTCTTGCCCTGAATCTGGGGATATTTGTGAAATGGATTCTCCTGCTGGCATCTGCTGACCCCCCTGGGGGACAGGTCTAATTCAATCCAGCTAAAGGCAGCAGAGGTTTCTGACTAACTTCCCTCAAACCAAGCTCTCCCACTCCATGACCCCCAAAACCTTCAGGGAAGGGGAAGGGCAAGGGAAAGGGTGTTTGGTAACAACGCAGTAAAAGGTTCTGTACTTGCTTTCCTTACTTGAGCCCACCGGTGGGGACAGTGTGGCATTTCTTATGCTCCAGCAGCTGTTCGGGGGTCTTCATGAACTTGTGGCACACGTCACACTCAAACATCCGGGTGATGAGGTGTATCTGCAAATGGCGCTCAAACATGTTCTTCGTCTTGCAGACAAAGTTGCAAAAAACGCATTCGAACCCTGAAAGGACCGAAGCTGGGTGTAGAGGCGCATGTAGGAGGCAGGAGTGGGGCTGAGGTTCCCCCCATCACCCACCCCGTGCCTCCCCACAGATGCACCTCCCAGGTACCGTTCCCTGCATCTCTATTCAAAACACACAGCCTCAGAGTCAGTGTCACTCTCTCCAATCTTTCCACCTTGCATTTGGGAACAAACCGAGCCAAAATAAAATGTGATTTTCTGCGTCCTGGGTCTGCTCTCTGCACACTGTACCGCATCCTGGGCCTAATAATCCTTTCCTCTCCAGGGCTCATTCTCAAGACTGGGTCATCGTGGACTGGACAGGGCTTAGCAGGCCACGTTCACCTCCGCCCTCACCTTTCTCTGGCTTTTCCTCGCTGTTCAGCGAGGGTTGGCTCCCAGGCACGACAGAGATGACCAGCAGATTGTTCCCGCTCTTGTTCTTCTGGGAGCCATCTGAGTCGTCTTTGCTGTTGGCTGAGTCACTCAGAGCTGAGAGGGAGGACGAAGAGGGACTATTTGATTCGCTGGGGGTCTTCCTGTCTTCCCCTGAAATATGAAAACAACCCAAATCTGTTAACCTGGGAGACGAAAACCCTTGGAATGACAGCAGCTGAGGGTGGGGGAGTCGGGTCTCAGGGATGCACCACGGTTCTGCTGAGGCTTCCAGCTCCCACCAGTGCTCTCACTGGGGCTCCAGTTCCTAGTGCTTCTGTGGCGGTGGCATGCAAGGTTCTCAGAGCCAAGAGCAGGCATTCATGCCTTTGAGAAATATTCATTGAGGTCTTACAATAATTAGAATCTAATGATAACAATGGCTAAGATGTACCGAACATGGTGCTAAGTTCCAGAAACTGTTACACTTTAAATGTGTTATCTCTAAATTCTATCCTCTCAAAAATCCTAGGAAGCTGGGTGCGGTAATGCATGCCTGTAACCCCAGCACCTCAGGAGGCTGAGGCAGGAGGATTGCGAGTTCAAAGCCAGCCTCAGCAACTTAGCAAGGCCCTAAATAACTCAGTGAGACCCTTTATCTAAATATAAAAAAGGGCTGGGGATGCGGCTTAGTAGTTAAGGGTTCCTGAGTTCAATCAAACCCCCCCCATACTGCCTCCCCCCAAAAAAATGCCAAGGCTGGAAGAGTATCTCAGTGGCAGAGCATGCATTTAGCATGCATGAGGCCCTAGGTTCAAACAAACGAACAAAAATTCTATCAGCACAACTATTGCCGTTTTGCCGATGAGGGGATGGAGGCACAGAGGTAAACCTGGCCTAGGTCATGTGGCCACTAAGTGGTGGAGGAGTTTGAGTTGTTCTGCCTCCAGTGTCCATGCTCCTCAGTGCCCCAGGCTCCTCCTCAAAGCCAGGCATAAACAAGTCAAATAGGCCATTAAAATCTGTGTCGGGAGACTGCAGTTGCTACTCATGTTGGAATATCAGGAATTGGACCTAACATTGCTATGAAACAACTAAGAAAAAAGAAAGTGCAGACAAAATACATCAAACAGTAGTTTTTACAACACTGGACATGAGGTGATGAAGCATAATGGCCCCTGAGAGCCAAGACAGGATGGGTGAGGCCTGGGACTGCTCAGCCTCCTGTCCTGAGCTCTGTCCCAGGCTGCGGTGCATCAGGGAGGAGAAGACAGGTCCCAGATGCAGGAGGCAGAGCTGAGCAACTGGAGAGATCCTCATGAATAGCCATTGCCAGACAGGGCATCAGAGCTCACAGAGGAACCTGAGACCTGCAGAGGGTGCCCTTTGAGTCTTTAGCACAGCATGGGTCGAAGCTGTGTGCAAGGAAGCTACCCAAGACCAGAAAAACGCCACTTGAGCTTAGTGCCTGGCTTTTGCACCCACACAGGGCTGGAAACAGCTGTCTGCATCAGCCAGATCAGAAAAACACATAATTCACAGGGCATTAGGCAGAAAACTGAACAAGGTCTCTTAGTAGTGGGTAATAATTAGCCCTGGAGAGATCAATGCTTTATGATCCAGGCCTGCTAACAAATCATAAAAGTAAGACTCAAGAGGATCAAAGTTTCCAAGTAATTATCTGTGTCCTAGAACAAAGGTCAATAATACTTATAGGAGTATAGAAAATATTGAATACCAATATGTAAAACCATGATGCCTGGTATCTAAACAAAGATTATCAGGCATGTGAAGAAACGAGAGACTCAACCCAAAATGGGGAGAAGAATCAATCAACTAAAACTAACCTAGAACTGGTGCCATTAGAATTTATAGACCAGAACATTAAAAATATATCTCATATATTAAAATGTTAAGCAGAGACACGGATGATGTGAACAAGATCCTAGTCAAATTTTACAGATAGAAACTCCAAGGTCAGAGGTAGAACCATATATTGATGAGATTATAGCAGATTAAGACATGGCAGAAGAAAAGGTTAGTGAAATAGAAGGCTAACAGCCATAGAAAACTCTCTGAAGTGAAACAGAAAAAGAATTGCCCAAAATGAAATGAGCACCAGTAAATGATGAGACTTCAGGCACCTTAGTGTAAGTCCCGAGGGGCTACTTGAGTAGGGTATAAAAAAATATCTGAAATGAACAAATTTTTTCCAAATTTGAGGAAAACCACAAACTCCTAGATCCAAGAAGATCAATTAACCTCAAGCCTAAGATACATGAAGAAATCCATACCAAAGAGCATTATCATTAAATTGTGAATCCAAGTGGTTAAGAAAAAAGTCCTAAGAGTACACAGAGGTGGAAAAGAAAAAAAAAACCCACAAAACCCCACCATGTTATATTCAAAGAACAAAGCTGAATGAAAATTGTTTCAAAAGTGACGGCAAAAATACCAAAAAAGGTTGACATTAAAAAAGATGAAAGAGTTTTGTCGCCAGCAGACTCATATTATGAGAAACGTTAAAAGGGGCCCTTGAGGCAGAAGGAAAATGAGACCAAATGCAAAAATGGGTTACATAACAGAATGAAGACTCCTGGAAACGATAAGTAAATTTATGTTTCTGTCTTAGTATTGAAATATTTTCAGAGATAATAAAAGTAATTTTGTTGAAACAAAAATAACAACAGTGCACTGTCAGGTTTAAAACACATGCATATAAATATTTGACAATAATAAAGGCTGGGCAGGGAGAAATGGAAGGACACTATTTTAAGTTTCTTATACTATGTAGGAAGTGGTATAATCACTTGAGGTTATACTGTAATAAATTAACAATGTACTTTGTAAGCCCCACGTAACGGAGAGTTATCCACAGTTTCTGATTCAGGAAAGTTGTTAAGATGTCAATGCTCCCCAAACTGATGAACAGATTGGACACAACTCCAGAATTTAAATTAGGATAGAAAACACCAGAAAACCGAACTTTGGTTTCCTTCAAATTCGTTAGTTAAGGAACTTATTGATTATAAACCCTGAGAACTTCCTTTATTAGGACATTAGAAATAAACAATATACTACTTATAGGCATGAAAGTCTAGAAATAATGCTGTCACGATGGGTTAAGGAGTAGGATTTAATATTGTTAGCATAATGCTTGTTTTTTTATTATTTGAACTTCAAAATTTTCTAGTGTGACCATATATTATTTGTTTAGTTGAAGAAAGTTTTTAAAAAGAAAGAAGGGCTGAGGGCACTGTTCCGTGGTAGAGTGTGTGCTCAGCATGCCCAAGGTGCTGGGTGGGATCCATCCCCAGCAAAAAATAAAACAAACAAAAATAACAAAACAAAAGTACAGAGAGAAAGCGAGAGAGAGGGATAAAAAGGAAAAAAAAATTCATCACTTAGAATGTTTTCAAATCCTAATTCTGTGAGAATGCACTTAGGTCCAGGGTGGACAATTCTCACTTCAGTTCATAATGTTTAAAATCTTGTTTCTATCAGAACTGAACATGGCTTCTGGACAGAGAGTATGTGACTATGTGAAGGGATGGTATGTGCCTTCAAAATATGCAGTCTTCCCTTGGAACAAGGAAGCTATGCGAAAACTAGCTTAGTGGTAGAGCACGTGCCTAACAGGTGCAAGACCCTGGGTCCAATTCCCGGCATCCGAGAGTGTTATAACTAGTGCCATAAATGCCAGTCCTTTATCTGTATGTTTAATCAACTAATTCACATTCTGTAGACAAATAGAACATTTTCATTGAAGGCCTCAAATCCTTGACATTACTTCTCCAAATCTATGTTCTAAGCCTGGTCTTACTGACAGTCTATTTAATACTTATTAAAAAATGTTTTCAGAATTGAAACATATTAATTTCAATTACTATCTTTAAAATTCAATTCAAATATCCTGAGGCTTAAGGCACTGGGCAGAGCTACATAAATTGGTAAATTTATAAAGATACAAGGTGCTATGTCAGCCACTCTCTGAGACTAAACAGGAATACAGCCCAGCTCACTTGATCTCTGGTCCAAACAGCCTCCCCTGCTTTCAATCCTCCTCTCCTATTGCAATGTCTGCAGGGGGTAGGCCAGGGTCCCCTTGCCACCTAAATCCAAAGCTAACTGTGATGGAAGTGGTCATTTACCATTGGCATCATAAAGATTCTTGGTGAAGGACACTTGTGCACTCTCACACATTAGGGTAACCCTCTGTAGGGAATTTTTAAGGGAAAAAAAAATGTTTCACGATTTAAAACAAAACAAATTGAGAAATTGTGGCCAAGAAGTTGCCAGTTATCTTACTGCCTCAACATAAGCACTATTGTATTTTGGTGTACTTCTTTTCAGTCTTAAAAAGATAAATATCTGTTTTTAAATTTTAGTCATTCATTGTATAGTGGTTAAGAATAAGGATCTTAGGCCAGGTGCAGTGGTACATGCCTATAATCAATCCCTGGGCAACTTGGTGAGGCCCTGTCTAAGTAAAAAGGGGTTGGGGATGGAGCTTAATGGTGCACCACTTACCTAGTACATGTGAGGTCCTTGGTTCAATCCCCAATACTGCCTGCCCACCCACTTTCTGCCCATGAAAACAATAAGGACTCAGAATTCCTGAGTTTGAATACTAATTAATAGCTGATGAGTTTGGATAAGATACTTTATTTTATGACTCAATTATTATGTCTGTAAATGGGTTATATAAGCACTTGCTTTCTATGGTTGAGAATTAAATTATATATATATTTCTTCATAAATATATATATATATATATATAAAATTATTTGGCTAGACATGGTTCTTCATGGTGTGTGTGTGTATATATATATATAATTTCCCCTGCTGTTTTATATATTTGGTACGTAGTTGGCTTCCAAAAATTTTTGTGAAAGCATTCATAAATTAATCATTTTAAATGATAGCATTAAATCCTAGACCATGTTCCTAGGCTAGAAGCTATTTTATAGAACCTGGACCTAGAACCCAGACTTAAAATCACACTTGTATTTTCCTCCACAACAAGTAACTTCTGCATAGATTACATTTGTAAGTCAACTGAGCTCTAAGGCTTGATCAAGGGCCAAGTCTGAATGTTCTTCCCACTCATAATGCAAGATGCAAGATGTGAACAGAGGAATTTGTGCACATGTGTCCATTCATCGAGTGAACAGTTACTCCTCACACTGTGCAGGGATTGTTCTGGGCAGTGACTTAGACAAGCTCCCTATTCTAAGACTATATATTATAATAAATGTCATATAGCACAACTATTGCTTTCATAATCACTTCACAATAATACAGCTTATTCATGTACAGATTTAGATGGGTAGATTTTGGGTCAAGTTCAGACACCTCAAAACAGCACTAAATATAGGAAATGCTCATTGTGAAATTGATAGCTTATAGAAGGCATTGGCAAACCACAGCTTCTTGTCTCTAATGGACTTCCTGTTCTTGTAAATAAAGTTTTATTGGAACACGGCCATTCATTTGTGTACTGTCTATGATAACTTTCAAGTTCTAGTGGCAGAATTGAATTGTAATGGCAGAAACTACATGACCTGAGAGCCTAAAATATTTATTATCTGGCCTTGCAAAAAGTTTGCAAAGCACTGGCTTAAAAAACACATTCTAATAAAGAGCTCAAAAAGTTGAATACTAACAAAACAAATAACCCAAACAATAAAGGGGCCAAGGACTTGAACAGACACTTCTCAGAAGATTATATACAATCAATCAACAAATATATAAAAAAAGTTCATCATCGCTAGCAATTAGAGAAATGCAAATCAAAACCACTCTAAGATATCATCTCACTCCAGTCAGAATGACAGCTATTATGAAGACAAACAACAATAAGTGTTGATGAGGATGTGGGGAAAAAGGCACACTCATACATTGCTGGTGGGACTGCAAACTGGTGCAGCCAATATGGAAAGCAATATGGAGATTTCTTGGAAAACTGGGAATGGAACCACCATTTGACCCAGCTGTCCCTCTCCTAGGTCTATGCCCAAAGGACTGATTTTTAAATCAGTTTTTAACTGATTAAAAACAGCATACTACAGGCACCCAGCCACATCAGTGTTTATAGCTAAACTGTGGAACCAACCTAGATGTCATTCAATAGATGAATGGATAAAAAAAAATGAGGCATATATACACAATGGAATATCACTCAGCAATAAACGAGAATAAAATCATGGCATTTGCAGGTAAATGGATGGAGTTAGAGAAGATAATGCTAAGTGAAGTTAGCCAGTCCCAAAAAACCAAATGCCGAGTGTTTTCTCTGATATAAGGGGACTGATTCATAGTGAGATAGTGAGGGGGAGCATGGGAGAAATATACGAACTCTAGATAAGGCAGAGGGGTGGGAGGGGAGGGGGGGCATGGGATTACAAATGATGGTGGAATGTGATGATCATTATTATCCAAAGTGCAGGTATGAAGACATGAGTTGGTGTGAGTATACGTTGTATACAACCAGAGATATGAAAAATTTTTGTTTTTTTTTTTTCTTAGGATTTTTCTTGCTTTTGGTTTTCTTTTTTAGTTAAAAAAATACATTCTAATCTTATTCTAATAGTAGCAGCATTAAAAGCTTTTGGTAAATAACAAAAGAGACTTCTTTAAGGAATTTTGGTCTTGGCTCTCTGTATTAACAAGTAAGAATATTGTCCCCAGCTAGATAGGGAGCTGTGCCACTCCAGAGGAACAGGATCTCCCCTCTGTGCCCCCTGGTAATTAGGAGGTGAGGTTGCTTGCATTGACCAGCCAACACTGTGAGGTTTCCATCAATGATAAGTGCTGCTAAGCCCACCTCTTCCAGCCACTAAGTTTCTACAGTTTCTCTGAGGTGGGGTGGGGTGGGGTGGAGAGGGCTGCAGAGCATTCTAGGGTGGAGACCCAGGCATATGTTGGGGTAAAGAGGGTTGAAGAAGGAAGGTTTCACAGAAAAAAAGAGTCTCTTTGAAGCCAGTGGAGATGAGAAGGAAGCTGGCCTTTCCCTCCATGAGCCACTCCAGAAACTCTGAATTTAATTTGTCTTCAACGTGAGTTTCCCAGCTCACCTGCTGCCCGTGGTGCTAATGTGGTTATGGTCAGACAGCCGACTGTAAAAATGGCACCTTTTCACTCAGCATAATGACTCTCTGCAGACCTCCAAGTCATAGCTGCTCAGTTTACTGACAAAAACAAGCTTTTATTGCTGTTGGCACCACTGAGCCAAAGCAGCCAAAGAAGCACAGAGAACTCCTTATCGGCCATGCTCATCGTCAGCACAACTGTCAGGGAACTTCCCCTTCCGGGATCCTCCAGCAGCCGGTGATGTAAGGGGCTGACCCAACACCCGGGGCTGGCAGTTAGCAGCGTCAGCTTTTAATTTCTAAGCACCACAAATGTGGGGTTGCGGGGGGAGGTCTTCCTCCTTCTCACTTAATGACTCCACGCTGGTGTCATTTGTAACCATCACTTGTGAGAGTCTAATTGCACGGTGAAGTCAAAATGTTAACATCATTAAATGGAAGAAGTTAACCAGGATGGCAAGAGGCTCCAGTGAGAGGCGAGGGCCGGCCAAGTCTTGTTAGGTTTGTTTCAGGAGAATCTGGTTATCTTTGCCCTTGATCAGAGGTGCCATGTGTCACTATGGGGAGTGTCAGGGCTACGAGTTCTCTGGAAGGGAACGGAGCCTGCAGAGTTAGGTGCTCAGTGCCCTGGTGCAGAGAAACAGGAAGGTTTAATAAAAGCTCTGCCAGGTGTTTTGTGGGACAGAGCAGGCTGTGGAAGGAAAACCGTCCTGGGCTGAGTTGCTCAAGTCACGTCCAGGTTGCTGGCCTTGGACGGAATTCCGTTAAGCCTCAGTTCTTCCATCTACATGTTGCGGTAACAATAATACTCACCTCAGAGCATTGCTAAGAGGTTTAAATGGCATCCAGTGTGCAAAGGCACAACCTGGGGCAAGGAAAGACCTTAAGACCGCTATGTATGACAACGAGCAAGAAGCTGCGGTACAAGAACTCGGCTCACACCTCTCAAAAGCATCCAAACCCGGCATCTTCCACATCAGTGAGGCCCAGGCCGAGCCAGGCAATGACATTGTGACTGCGGGGCAATGTGGCCCAGATGTTCTGGAAAAGTCCTTCCTTCTATGGACATAGAAGGAAAAGTCCTTCCTTCTATGGATGGACAGCCTGAAACTCGGGGTTTTGTAGAGACTAACCTTCTATGGAAGGAAATGCCAACGTCTCGTGGCAGCAAGGATGCTTCTGCCATGTGGCAGGCAGTCTGGGGTGCAAGGGATGCAGAAAGGGGAGAAGGACTGACAGGAGTGGTCACCTGTGTGCTTGGTGCCAATGTGAGCCTTGATCTCTGCTTCCTCCATGGTGACAAAGTCGCAGGCGGTGCAGCAGATGGAAAACATCCACTGCTCCTTGTCCACGTGGAGTGACATGTGGCTGACAAACTGGACATTGAGCTCAGTCTCAAATCCACACACGTGGCAGCTACACGAAAGGACAAAAGGAAAGAGGGAGAGTGAGACATGCTTCCCGTGTGTGCGGCGTGGAGCGTGTAGTGTGTGCGTGTAGCGTGCTCACAAAAACTAGTTTTGCACGCATCTTCTCTCCACCAAAAGGTATCATGTTAGAAAATTCTGCTTCTTGGGATGCCTCTGAAGTGGTCACTGTGCCAAACGGATTAGGTGCCAGCATAATGTAACAATCCCATACATGCTATAATGATGTTAAATAATCATAAAGTTAATTAAAAACTACAGCTTCCAGATGCTGCACATCGCCTAACTGATTCCTTTGGGCAAAGAGATGTGGGGCGGTGTAGCCAAGGTATTTAGCGGTGCTGGTCCACTGATAAAATTGGAGTGTGCTGCACACCCCGGAGCCTCTCTCTGGCACTGGAAACCTTCCTGAGCAGCAAGGAAAGCACACACAGGTTGTCCTGTGGCATGCGAAACCTCGGGCAGTCCTGTCCGTGATAACTCCTGATAGAAGCCACCCTGCCTCAGAGACGCGTTGCCAAAGCAAGTATCCAACAATATCTCGAGGCCACATTTGGTAGCGAGCCTGATACCTGGACTTTTATGGTGACTGAACCAAATATTGATTCACCTTTGACTATGGACATTGCTGGGACTAAAGGGCACATAGCCAAGGGACAATATGTGATGTCTTCTGAGCTATTTCCTCCTCGGGGGTTCTCAGATTTATTTTTCCTCATCTTTTTTTCCTGCAATTCTTAGGCGGCAGCAAGGGGCTCAGTTACAAAGTTCGGGACCACACAGACCCAAGAGCTGATCATCCCAGAGCCCTGCCACTCTCTGGAGCTCCGTTCCACAGAGGTCCTCCAAGACCCCTTCTCTTTCAATTAACTCGACTAGGCCAGACTGCAGAGGAGTCCCTGCCACACAGGGTTGGAGCTAAGCAAAGACCGGATTCAAATGAAGATCTGCATATGATTGAGACAAGGGCCTTGGTGACATAGGCCCTGGGGGAAGACTGGCTGAGAGCCCCAAAAAAAGGCGTCTGGGAGGCCCCACTGTGTGCTGGTCCTCAACTCACCTGTAATAATAAGGGTGTTTCTTCCCGTCACTGCCTTCAGAGGTGACAGCGCTGACAATGTCCTCGGTGTCTGTACTCACCAGCTTCACAGAATGGACAGTCAAGTGCTGGTTCAGATTCGCACGGCACTTAGCAGCATAGGGGCACAAGTGGCATTTGTATTTTCTTTCCTCTGGGGGGAGAACCAACAGGAATAAACCCAAACTGCTCTCAGAAAATGAAATCTCGACCCCTGGCCAGACATCACTGAAGTGCACCAAGGAGAGGATGAGTCGAGGCTCATTTCAGACGAGGACAAAGGTCACACCTTGGAATAGCAAGTGTCTCAAGCACCCAGCAGTTTGTGCCTGTATTAATCCTCCCAAAGATAAAAGAGGGGCTCCTAGGGCCATACCTCTGAGCAAGACTTGACGGACAGCCTGAAACACGGGGTTCAGTAGCGACTAACCAAATACAGACGCAACGCTGAATATGGAGGCCAAACGTCACGCTGCAGGGCTGATGGGCCACAACCTGGGACAGCACATATGCCTCCTGGGACACTTCCCTGGAGTTCTTCCTGACAAGGTGAGCCCCACAGGGGCTAAAGGGTACCGTGTGTGCATGTGTGTGTGTGTGTGTGTGTGTGTGTGTGTGCCCCTATGTGTCAGTGTGAGGTGCTGAGCCCGGCAGCAGAACAAAATCAACATTCACAGCTCTGGAGCGTAAGAGAGGCCCATCATTTTCCCTAAGCTCCCGGCCTGGGTCAAACATGAAATAACAACTAATGAAATTAAAGTAAAAAAAAAAAAAGACTTGTATAAAATAATTTAATTGGACATTTTCATTTAACATAAATAAAATAAAAAATTTCAATTAATTTCTTAATGGAAATTCTCATAAAACTGACTAATGTTTCAGGATTGTTTCCAGAGTGGCATTCTGAATTCATTTGGTTAATCAAGCAAATTAAAGTACCAGGAGCAGGGCTTTGCTTTCATTCTACAGACAGAGGCAGTGAAGAACCACAGCACAGCCTCCCTTTCCATCCCTAATCTGACTTGGTGTTTCTGTGCTTGGGTAGAAGAAAATGCCTGTCTTGTTTACATCACAGGAAGAACCTGGGAAAGAAGGTGTTTCTACACCACACTAAGCATCACTGTTATCACAGGAGGTCCCCAGCATCTGAAGGGTGCTGCGGGGACGGGGGGAGTAGTCCTACAGCACAGGTTATTACACAGAGTCCTTTAGAATCTTTGCATTTGTGTAAGTCAGTGAGGCTGTTGAGCTGAGCTTTGCTATGTATTAAGGTTACACTTTCTCCCTAAACTGAACTGCGAGCTTTCTCTCTTTTTCCTGTCACTTGGGAAAGATTTAACAACATTGGAATTTCTGACTCTCAAAAGGTGAGAAAGAACTCATCTGGGAGAATTTTTGGAGCTCTTTCTTTCCTACTTTTGGGTATAGTTTCTTCCTTTGCTTTTCTTAATGAAACTTAATTGAAGTTGTCTCTTTGGGGGTCATCTCCTTCCTATTACTGGCCTGTCATCCCAGTAGCTTGGGAGGCTGAGGCAGGGGGACTGCCTCAGCAACTCAGTGAGACCCTGTCACTATATAAAATATAAAAAGGGCTGGGGATGTGGCTCAGCGGTTAAGCACCTCTGGGTTCAATTCCTGGTATAAAAACAAAACAAAGGAACTAAAATCAGCACTCTATAGCGGACATGCACACTAATGTTTATAGCAGACCACTATACAACAGCCAAGTGATGCAATCAGCCCAGGTACCTGTCAGTGGGTGAATGGATAAAGAGTGAAATTATGTCTTCACTTATTTTTTTACTGGTTATGTTATTGTTTATTCCTGTTTTACTCCTTGTGAATTTGGCTCCTCTCCCCCATTCTTCGAATCACCCATTATTTGTCTACTGTTCAATGTAAAGGAGGGCTGGTCTTAAGGAACTTGTTTTAAGCAGACTCGGTGATGGCCACCTCGTACTGCTCCACCCAAGACTCCCTCGTGTAAGAGTGCACACTATGGTTTCTAGAATAGTCTCCAATGTTCAGGAAACTGAAAAGACCAAGGTGGCCCCTTCGCCACTGTTCCACCATGAGACGAAACCACTAGGACAGGGTGAGGCCTCTTCCCCTGCTCCTTTGAGAGGAGTCTGTCCACCTGCTGGAGAGCTCAGCATAGTCCCTGGGCACGTGGAAATGTGTGTGTCTCCTCCGCAGTCCTCCCTGGAGCTCAGTGAACTTCCCAGTACAAACAGAAAAGCCTTCCCGGGTCTTGCTTCAACATGCAGGACACGAGGCCCCGGAGGTCCGGGTGGACACCTTTCCTCCACTTCCTGAACCATTTCTCTCAGGGGGAACTCGACTTCTTTCAGAGGCTGGTGACAGTCAGGAGGACGTGGCAGGGAGGTGCCTGCTCACCTGTGTGCAGCGAGAGGTGTCGGGACAGGGTCTGCTGTCGGCCAAACACTTTCCCACACACGTCGCAGGGGAAAAGCTGGTCGTTGAATTTCCAGGATGGCAATCCGTTTCCCGCCTCCAGGACTATCTTTTCTGTTTCTGGTGAAGAGAATAAAGAGTCATGAGGAGGGACTGGGCAGCAGGGAGGCACTGCATTTTGGTCAACCTGAGGGCTCTGGCAGAGGCCCTCTCCCAATGGATGCGGTTCATGACTGCAAACAAGACCCACAGCTGGTCCTCATGCTCATTTCCTGTCTCTGCGGAGGCCACTCGAGAAAGGTGAGGTGGTGGCGTCCAGTGAATTACAACTCCCCAGTCTTTAGCTGACCCAATCCCCAAGTGATTGACAGTACACCATAGGCACTCAATAAATACTTTCTGAATGAATGGTTGAACTGCATGCTAAAATCTTAGAAATGTAAACTGTTGCCTCAAGATACTAAACACAGTCTTCTACATCTCAGATTCCAGTGCAAATATCAAAAGTCCCATCTCATACGGCCCTTTACGGAGAAAGCTTTGTCCTCTGTTCTGGGTTGGGCAAAATTCTTAGCTAGGAACTTGTTTTCAGCAGATCCAGGGATGGTCACCACGCACTGCTCCACCCAAGACTCCCTCGTGCAAGAGTGCACAACTATGGTTTCTAGAATAGTCTCCAGTGTTTAGGAAACTGGTGAGTGATCTGCACGTGACTCACAGCCATGGATAAGTGGACATGAAAACTTCCCATTTTAAAAAGTTTTTCTTGGGCTGGGGTTGTGGCCCAATGATAGAGTGCTTGCCTCACATATGTGAGGCACTAGGTTCGATCCTCAGCACTACATAAAAATTAAAACAAAATAAAGATATTGTCCCATGTATAACTAAAAAAAATTAAAAAATAAAATAATGCTTTCCTTTTTTCCTAACCATCTGCAGGATTACCTCCCATTTTCCTGTCCATACTTCTCAATGAGCTGATTTACAAACATCCCTTCTGCAGTAAGGAGACAGGAGGCAGTGCCAACAAGAGGTAAGGGGACACGTCCAAGGGGACACTCATCCGGGCCTCCTTTGAAGATGCTTTGAGTTAGTGTCTTGTCCTTTACCTCCGTCATTGTGAATCTCAAAGCACAGAACCGCATCACAGAACCCAACACCACCACGTGGTGCTAAGTAACTGATGGGAAGAACTTTTCATAAGGAAATGCTTAGACCACTGGTCAGAGGTAACGGCAGGAAAAAGCACTCTACTTCACACAATTTGGCTAAAACTGCTTCCCAAACACACTCTTCCACCTGTATTTGGGTAACTGGATCGATTTTCATTTGAATGAAGATCTGCCAGATGGCCTCACCTAAGGAAAGAAGAAACAAATAGGGACCTGTGTTTGGAGATGGGGGATGGTGACACTGCAGTTCTGTTTGCCGGGAGGGAGGCTCCGGCCAGCAAGCCCAACACTGATAACACACACTTGTTGACTGATCTGTGTTTGTTACAACTCGCTCTTTGGGCCTGGGGAGAAGAGCTGGTCCTATGAAGGTAGGATGATGGGGGACTCAAAACGGCTGAGAGGCAAGGGGTGGGTTGTGGGGAAGGCAGGGTGAAAGGGAGGCCGGGCCAGGTGAACTGCTGAAGGCAAGAGCCACTCTCAGACAGCGTCCTTGAGCCCAAGCAGTGGGCAGGCCAGCCACACCGTCACGAGAGGGTGTTCAGGCAGTTCCTTTTAAGTGTGCGATCCAAACAGCACTTCAAAGGAGGACGACAGTAATCATGATTAGGAGAGGTCAAGAGGGTACAGGGTCTTTGAAAACTTTCCCAGCAAGAAGGAATTAATTGGGTCACAGACCCAACAAGTAGGTGCAATGAAGAATAAAGAAGTCTCTTAATGATTCTTTCAAGTATTAGTCATGTCCTTGGAGAAGCTGGAGCATCACAGAAGTCCGTTCCCTTCGTGGCCTAGAAAACCAGGACATCCGTGGAGCTCAGTGTGAGGCCAGCAGGTCTCCCGGTGAGGGCTCTTAGAAGGGGTCACCCCAGCCCTGCACGAGACCCCAGCCTTGTCCGGGGTGGCTCCCATCCCCTCCGATGTCTGCATCAACCACAGCAATCTGTCTCCCTTCCCCAGGAAGGAGCAAGGCCATCTGACCCTATCCCAGAAGGGACAGGACCTGAGAAGCCACAGGAAGGCGTTTGGCCTCGGAGAACCTTGGAACCCAGGGCAGGATAGGACCAGACTTGTGCCTCTTCCCCATTTCCACCCAAATGAACGTGAAAACCTCAGAATCATTTTTTGATGTCTCCCCTTCCTTCTTTCAGCACATCTCAGCGGTCACCCAAACTGCCCATCTCACCTCAGAGATCTTTCTAGAAAGAACCTTCTACTTTAATGGAATCATTATCTCTCACCAAGATTGTTGCAAAACCCCCCAAACAGCTTCTTGGCTGCCAAGTTTCAGCCTTCCTGCAGCCTCTCCTCCCCGCAGAGGCTCCACGGAGCTCTTCCTGGGGCACAAGTCTGATCATGTCTTGCCTGTATTCCAAACGCCTTCCTGTGGCTTCTGAGGTCCTCCACTGTCCTACACCAGCCTCCTGCCATCACCCAGTCGCTGGTCGGAGTGGGAACCAAGGATTTCCTTCTAAGCCGTCGATGCTTTTAAATCAACTCTTTTCCACTAACAGCTGCTCCCACACCACCACTTCTGCACACCACCCCGACTTGCTCTCGGGGTCTCTCTGATTCCATCCCCTCGATGCAGCTTCTCCAGTTCCCTAGAATCAACTTCCCCTCCTCATCCCCGAAGGCCTTCTAGAAAGACTTCCATGGCACCACTTTGCCCCGTCTATTATTTGTTCACATAATGCTACAGTTTGGAGACTGAATGCTCCCTAAAGGCCCACGAATTAAAGGCTTAGTCTCCAGCTCAGGGCACCAGTGAGAGGCAATGGAACTTTAGGAGGTGGGGCCTAGCGGGAGGCATTTAGGTCATTGGGGTCATGCCCTCTAAGGGGATACTGGAACCCAGGTCCTCTGCTTCTGACCGCCATGTGTTGAATAGGGTGCTTCCCTGTGAACTTCCTTCCACATGTGTCCCTCACCACAGGCCCAAGGTAACAGGGCCAACTGACCACGGACTGGAACCTCTGGAACTGTGAGCCAAAATAAGCCTTACCTCTTTGTAAGTTGATCATTACAGGCATTATGTTACAGTAATGGAAAGTGGACTAACACATCTCGCGTATCACCTACACATGTCTATATATCTCTCTATCAATATAACGTAAAGCACACAGCACAGCTCAACAAGCAGCAGAGCTTCCTATGGAGGTTCTCTGGCCTGTCTTCCCTGGTAGACTGTCAAGTCCCTGGGGGATGAGGCTCTGTGTGATTTATCTATGGACCCTCAGTATGAGCACAGTACTTGATACATTATCAGTGCTGAGTATATATTTGTTTAATAAATGAATGACTGAACGAAAGGGTCCAAGTGAGACAGGCACAACTGGAACTTACCAGTATTAATTAAGGTCTATCACCAACTCAAGGGGAAATATAAAGCTACCTGCCTTCCAAACGGGCATTTTAACGCCACTCAAGAGAGGTGCTTTTATGATTCTGTTAGTGGAAAGGTTTGCCGTCCTGTGCCATACTCCCAAAGATTTTATAACCTTATTTCCTCCCAACAGCATGGAACCACCAGTTGATTCTCTTTAAGACAGTCTCTCTGGCAGACACAGGTTAACCCAAATGGCCATATTCAACTTTCCTTCTCCCTGCCCTCTCCTACTATGAAGGCAGCTAGGGCAGCTATGTGCTAAAGTGCTGGTCAATGAAAAGGCTAAAGCCTGTGGATTTTCTGATCAAAGGAAAGATATGATGGGATGTTGGTTGTCTTCTTTTTCCTGCCTTGATCACAGAAGAAATGTCTGGGATTGTGGCAGCCATTCTGTGAATATGAAGCATGAGGATAAGATGATATCCAACTGCCAGGATGGAGTGAAGGAAAGATGAAAGAGCTCAGGGTCCTTGATGGTATTTCTCTGTAGCTGACTGAATGCCAGCAGTCACCCACCTCTGGACTCCTTGTTTTATGAGGAAAATAAGTCCCTGTTTGTTCTAGCCATGGTTAGCTGGCTGATTTTCTTAACTGAAAACCCTTCCTGGGGCAACTCTTGGCTTAGGACTTTGGATATTAGGTTCTAGCTTTTGACAAGCTTTTCCCCAAACCCCAGCACTCTTTCAAGACCTCTCCGTATTCACTGTCAGCAGCAATGTGTGCAGCCAGCTGAACCCATTTCCACATTTCCTTCTTAATTAGCTTCTTCTGTTCTGCTTAAGAAAACTTACGACCTTCCTTTAGATTATCGAGGAATTTGATTTTTGACAATTTTTCGCTGACACATAATATATAAAACAGAAAAGTATACATGTCAGTAACTGATTCTGAATCAGTTCCAAAGTCCCCAGAGTAGAATACAGGCATTTAAAAAAAAAAATGTGGATTTTCTTCATCTGTAATCTCATGCCCCTTAGTATTTGTTTCATTAATTTAAGAAAAAGCAGCAGCAAATGTATACTTTAGATCTCCATTTCTTTTCCAACAAAATACTTGTCTAATAATAATGTTTTTATTCAGAGTCTCAGAGGACATCGTCTCCTTAATTTGCTTTTCATACACCACTCTGATCCCTGAAATGTACATAAATTACACCCTTTAACTCCTGGTTACTTGGTGTTATGCATTCGGATGTTTCTCTCTCTATTTTTCCACCTTGAACATCCTTTGGGTCGTTTTTCTTGTTGGTGGTGCTGAGGATTGAACTCAGGGCCTCACACGTGCCCAAACACTGAGCTACATCCCCTGCTAAGTTTTTCTGTTCAATGAAGCAAAGGGGTGTGCAGAAGCGAGCCCTTCTATCCCCCAGTACAGCTGGAAAAACAGGAGCAGAGTGTTAGGGGAACCCCCTCTTCTCTGCACTGTGCATCTCAGTCTTTATGAACTGAGTTTACAGTGAACTGAGGCCCCTTATCCATGGCCATGAGGTCTAATTGGCCCAGGTACAGCGTGACGGACAATGCGCCTCAACCTAGGGATCCCAGGGCACGTGTCTCAGCTCCTGC